TTTCTCTCTCTTTCTCTCTCTCTCTCTCTCCTCTGACTCTCAATTGTACCACGCCACTGGAAGCATTAACCTGGGTTAGAAGTCCAAATTTCTTAGTTGCAAAATTATGTAATCAGGGTCAATAGTCAACTAATTGTCTGTCTAAGTGCATCTCCTTCAACAAGTGACTCTCTTCTGAGAATGCTTCTTCTCACTCATGTTAATCTCATTCAGAGAACTGTCACCAGTGTGTTTAGTAAAGCCTCAAGAAAGTGCGCATCATATATAGAAGTCCCATTGCCATTCACTGATGTTAAGGTAACAAATTTTTTTAAGCCTTTCAATTCAGTTAAACCTAAAAGGGAATGTCCATTTAAATGAATTGAACACTAAATTAAGTTCGTAAAGTTACGCTTTCAGAATTCTTTCGAATTCAGTCAGCCATCATACTGCTCGTTGAATGTATTTCACGAATGTTCATTGGCCTAATGGCATAATATTGTGGGGAAATACATCTTATAGATCCAAGACTTTTAGATTACAAAAATGAATTGCAAATAATAAGCAAATCCCACCCATGTGATTATTGTAAGCCTCTCTGTATTAATGTAGGTATTTTATCATTGTATTATACCTATCATTATATTATACCTTGTCTCTTGATATTATGAATCAGTATTTTTTTTATTTATTTATTTTTTTGTCAAAAATGACTTACTTAAGGGTGAGAATATATTTTTAGCAAATGCTGATATCTATAACTACAACATGCGATGTACTAATCATATTCATCAGGTGACAGTATCAACAGCTCACTACAAACAAATCACCTACAATACATGTACATTATTTTACAACACCTTGTTAGATGACATTAAACGATTGAATTCGATACAAAGTTTATATCCCTAATAAAATATTTTCTGCTGCACAACTGTTTCAATACAATTAAATACTATAGCGAGCATCCAAAAGGAAAGTAATATTAATTTTAACAACAACATTTAATGTGTTTTTTACCACCTGGATTGTGTAATTGTAAAGAACCTGTAACATGTACTGTACTTCTGGAACAATGACCCCCATTTTGATAAGGTTTTTGTCTAGTTTCCCCAATTGAGCAAATGCTGAGATAGCCCCTTGATTTGCTTCTGGACATAAATGTAACTCCAAATTAACTTCTCCCCATTACATGTTACACACAGTTATTAACTGTTTTTGACATAAATAAATAAGAATTCTCCTTAATTGACAATAAAAGACATGTCCAACAATAAAGTTTAGCTTTAACTTCACCTGTTCGCCATTTTTGGAATAGTACAACGAAGGATTGATTTTTCTTGCATTTTTCTCGCCTGCACGATGTACTAGTTCATGCTCTCGATGACTCGTTGGTTAGCGTGCTCGCTTTCCAAGACGCTGAAAAATGAAGTCGTTCGCCTTTCACATAGGAGGTCTGGGTTTGATTCCCGTCGAATCGAGGACAGTATCATTTGAAATGTATTCCAACAAAACGAGTTTGACTGCTTCACAAGGGCTAGCCTAATCCCCTGTGAAGTGTTCTAAACCCTACCCCTATCCTAATTCCTTCCCAATTGTGACCGCTGGGTAGTGACGCAGAAGCGTGGTCAGAAGTGGTAGGAGGCGCGTCCTCGGAGTTGCTACCTGACGGTACTCTGATAACTTACTGCGACGAGACGTGACGGATATGACAATGATAATTAGTGGAAGATTAATCCCGCGATATTAATGAAAGCTTACTCCGAAAGCGCAACAAATTAAAGAAGAAAAAAAGGTGGAGAATATACGCTAACCACCCGAACCCTTTATTCCGTGGCCGAGAGGCTCGGTTACCGCTCGTCGGCGAAGTCCTGAAGTGGGCTGACGAAAATTAAACTGGTTCATATTCAATGAACCAGTTTAATTTTCCTACCTACCCCACGTGCCGCTACTGCATAGCAGTCGGCATTCAATGGATTGTGCTATATTGGTACAAAAGTTAAAAGAAAAGTAATTTTGATTAACTGTATTTTAGAAAATTTGTTGCAAGTTCGCCCAAAAACTAGTAATATGTTTAACAAAGATTACATAAAGTGATAAAATATCTAATATTGAGGAATTCATGTACATATTTCTAATTACTTTTTTCGGCTCTCACACGTAATGTATGTATATAAATGAGGTCTCCAAAGAAAGAGAATTTCATGAAGACGTGAAAAATTTCACATTGGCTATACAAATGTGAAGATTTTTTTCATGTAAATGCAACGCGCAGCACCCAGTCAACTATATCATTTATCAACTATATAATTTTGAGGCCAAAGACCTCGAAATTTTTCTCACACCGTAATCTACAGGATGAGATATTTTCGAACATTCTATTGATTTTTTTCTGGTTCGGTACTTATCGATACTACCAATGCCAAAGTGGCCAGGTTTTCGTCACGCTTAGAAGGCTTCGATTTCTCAGTCATACTATTTACGCTTTCTATGAACCCCGTCGTTTGCGGAGACAGTCGAGGTTTATTTGCATAATTATTAATTCATGATTTGCTCTACAGCAACAAGTAGAAGTACTATTAATAGTTGCTAGATACCGATGAAGATTGTTTCTTATGCGTGTAGTGAAAATATTCATTTATTGTTTTGCCAATGACGGACAATGGTGCTGTTAACTTAATTGTGGAGGGATGTGGGTGTACAGTGAAGAGTGAAGACGTAACGTATTAGGTTTGGTTTGTGTTTTACCTGTACCAGTATTTTCATTATTAAAAGTGATTCGGCATAACTTTCAAGTCAACGTGTTCAGTCACGTAGCTTTCTCAACAGTAAAAAGCTTTTTTAATGTTTTGTGACTAAAAGTGAAAAGCTAACTGTGAAAGAATATTGAATAATTACTTACTTAAAAATATTTGAAGTATTTTAAATTGTTCCAAGAAATCCCTCGGTAATATTGTATACGTTTCGTTAACAACTTTCCGTCTTAGATGGCGAAATAGATAGGGAAGAGTGTGGGATTTAACGTGCGCGAGTTCTCGCGCGGGAATACGGAGATTAGTAGGGGAAAACTTGTGCTATGACACAACTCAAAGAACAAGCTTTTTTAATTAACTAAAGTAAAGTAGCGTGAAATAAATGAACAACAAAAATCAAAACGCGCTAGCCTACAATACATGAATGAATTTGAAAAAGCAACCAAATTTAAAATTATAGAAAGAATAGGTCAAATCACTCGGCAACTGCACAGAGGCACGAATTAAAAGTAGGCGGTTTCTGGAAGTCTGTACATCAATGCCCAGCTGGAAACTCATTTTAAACAATACACGGTTCGATATTAAACTTGTGTCGGTTCGCTAAGATATTCAATACCTAGACATCGTTTGAGCAACATTTCCTTGTACCGAAGTGAAGTGTAAGCGTACTGAATTATTTCTAATTGTAACAAATAGTATGCATTACTCAAAGGTGAAAATATTAGTTTTATTACGTTTTGGCTCGGAATTGCTTTTCTTGAGAAACGTAAGAAAGCAGAAAATAATCCAAAACTTTTTAGTACACAAATAATTTTTCAATTTTGGCACCCCAGGAAGCTAGCGCTCAGCTCCTCCAAACCTCCCTCTGTTCCTCATAACAAATCCAGAAAAGTTAAATAATATTGCAAAGAGTATGATTGTACTTCCTGTATTTGCTTTAAAATTACGCCAAAACTACTCATTTGAAACACATTTCATTAAGAAAAAATATTTATTTATAATTACATGTAGTAATAGGATTTTCAAAAAGGTTTGAGCAGTTGCAATTTTGGAAAACTCGAGGCCTTTCAATGACACCGAACACGCGCAGTTTTTATTGACGCATTTCGCTTTATTCGAACAACACATTAAAAGATAATATTTGAACCAGTTTTAAAAATGTTCTAGGGGTTGTAAAATATTCCCAAAAAATTAAATTATGTTTCAAATTCGCACCAAACCGTCCTGATTAGTAATAGAATACCAATTTTTGAAAAAATTCTATGATTGAAGCTTGTGTTTACGCACAATCCATGAATGGTCGGCAGAAAGGCACGGACTTATGTGAAAAGCATGTTCGCTGTATTAGGGATGTAATTTAATCAATTTAAATGTAATGGAATATGTAGTAATTGATAAAATATCGAAAAGTATGTAATAATATCTAAAATAAAATGGTGTTTCTTATATATAACTAACTGTAAATAAAACTTTGTGGAGAGTTAGGAATAAGTTAAATTTGCAGAATTCCCTTGTGGATCTTGAATATACTAAGTCAGTCATGTACTCTCATATGTACTCTCATGTCATATACTAAGTCAGTCAGTAATCTAAGAATGTTTGTATATTTCTGTGTGTGTGTGTGCGCGCGCGCGTGCGCGTGCGTGCGTGTGTGTGTATATGAAAGAGATGCAGATGGCTGGACGGACGGACACGCGATCTTGGACTGAAGGATCGCAAGTTCGATTACCACCTCGGATGGTTGTATTTGTGTTCGTCCTTTCACCTCCTGACATTACCATATATCATGTCATCTTCACACCATAACATTAAAAAAAAAAAAGCACATGCACATATATACATATTTGCACAATGCTCTTGAATGTTTTCACTGTATCAAAGAAAAAAGTTTCTCAGTGACTAAAAAATTTGATGTTTATTTGCTCAGATCACACAGCTTGTATTTGGAGTGTTGAAGCTGGTAAATGTCTCTTGCAATATCAAGGGCACCAGGGATCTGTTAATTCAATTAGATTTCATCCCTCAAGAGACTTGGTGCTTACTGCTAGTGGTGACCAGACTGCACATGTATGGCAAGCAGTTGTTACTTTAGATCAGCCAGTAAGTTGTTAATTCTTAAAATTATTTTTAATATTGAGTGTTTCATGTAAAGTAGAACAAAAACAATAAAAATTTATTTGTTATGTTCTTCTCTGCTAACAGTGTGTTTCTACAAAAGTAATTGATTTGTGGTCTTCCACACCAAATGTTATTAATTGATATTTATGTCTTTAGTACCTATTTTATAGAAGTAACATATGTCTGGAAACTATTAATGTTATCTAGAAAGGACATTCATCAGAAGAAGAACTTGGAACTGGTGAGAAAGATGACTTTTGTGATGATTCATTGTTAGAAGGAACACCAACTTTGCGGACTCCAGTGTCAGAGTTGATGGGTCACAGTAGTGTAGTAATGGCAGCAGACTGGTTGCCAGGGGGAGATCAAGTGATTACTGCTTCATGGGATCGCACAGCAAATTTGTATGATGTGGAAACTCGAGATCTGGTGCAATCTCTTAGTGGTAAGAATCTTTCCTTTTTTAATGACTTTTTTCTTAATATTTAAAATTGTTCTTCTGGTAGATTTATTTATTTATTTATTCCCAATCAATCTTTGTTGTTAGGGCATGATCAAGAACTAACTCATACGTCTTCTCATCACTCTCAACGCTTGGTTGTTACATCATCAAAGGACACTACTTTTCGGCTTTGGGATTTTCGGGAGCCAATTCATTCTGTATCAGTTTTCCAGGGTCACACAGAGTATGTGTTTATTTCATCATGTTTTTTCTCAAAGAATTGTATATGCAATGAGTTTTGTTTTGTTTTTTGTGTAGAACAGTTACTTCTGCAGTTTTCACACGAGAAGATAAGGTTGTATCTGGTTCTGATGATCGTAGTGTAAAAGTGTGGGATCTAAGAAACATGCGATCCCCTCTGGCAACTATCCGTTCTGATTCAGCTGTGAATCGTTTAGCTGTTTCTGGAGCTGGTGTTGTTGCCATTCCGCATGACAATCGACAAGTTCGGTTGTTTGATTTGAATGGGCAACGTATTGCGCGTTTGCCAAGGACAAGTAGGCAGGTAATTATTACTTTTCATTGAGCAAATGTTTCACTTAATTCACAAGAATCAATTTGTTGTTTATTTTACTTCATGACTGCAACATACTATCTTCATACATTTGATAATTTGTACAATCTTATAATTATGAATTATATTTACATGGTATTTATCCATTACAGCTTTCAAAACAAATTTACCTCACCTTGGTATTAACCCCATGAAACAATGAAAGTTGTATTGCATCTGAATGGACATGCAATATTTAGTTACTGTATTTCATTTTAACTTTTGGTTTTGTTTACATAGCAGTTTACTTGTTTTTTTCTTCTTAAAGTAATATAAAATGATATAATCAATTTATGTGGTTAATAGGAATTGTTCTTTTTCCTTTTCAGGGTCATAGACGAATGGTTTCTTCAGTAGCATGGGCAGAAGAGAACTCTAATCTCTCTTGCAATTTTTTCTCGTGTGGTTTTGATCGGCTCATACTGGGTTGGTCAGTTCAGTCATGTAAAGATGCATAGAATTTTGTTAATATGTAAATAGTTGTAGATCAATGTACAATAATTGTGCTTACTTGTAAAATAATGTATTTTGATTTTCACTGTATGTGGTCATTCATGTTCTGAAGCAGATTTAAAATTTAAAACATATTTAGTAAAAGTAGGAAAGATCTGAATCAAATTTTGATTATAATTTCACCCTTGGGAGAACTACAATAATTAATGATAAATTAATTTTTTTTAAACCCTTCCCATTACCATAAACACGAGCTGTGGGTTGATGCCATCCATAAATTCCATTCATAACTGAAGTTACATTATGGAATTTAAAAAAATATAGGTAAGGGAGAAGATTTCTTCAGAGAAGTTGAACTCAAAGGATATAATTATTAAGTCCCCTTCATTTCCATCTATACTATATAATTTTATTCATGAATGTTGTTTATTGCATATTTAATAAATATTAAATACTATCAAATTTTATATTTTCTTATTTGAAGATTGAGTAACTTTATAACCATTGGGTGAACTTTCTGTTATCCCCCCTTGCCCCCTTAAGTTTTGGTTGTTACATGTTTCAATTCAAATTGAATAAAATGCCCTACAGCATAGAAAAAAAATTCAAAAATCCTCTTGCAATCTTACAGAAAATATAAGAATATTTTTGCATTTCTCTTTTCATCAACTGGACACAACAAAATTCACATTACAGTTAGAACAAAGAGCTATTACTTTTTCCATTACCAATAAGGTAAAAATTTAAAATTAAGGGACAGTGGTATACATCAACAGACATATTATTGAAAATTAGATCTACATTCCCGTCATACTAACTCTTCAGCCATCACTGGAACAACTAATCAAACAAAACGGAGGTTTTTTAAAAGAAATAATATTTATTGTAAAGTGTAAATGAAAATGACTTGTACAATTGCATATTGATTGCAATGTATTCAGTGTATATATGAAAAGAACAATTCTTTTCGATTTTTAAAAAAATTTACTTTTTTTGAAACGCGCTCGTGCCCCCCCCCCTAAATAATTACGTAACGCTTGCGACAACTCCTTTCACCTAAACTTTCTTCTTCTGGAAACGCAATTTTATCTGCGCTCGACTGCGATATTTATGTTGTCACGGTGCAACTTGACATGGAGTTTCGTGAACTTCACAATACCACGCCTTCCCAATTGTCGAGGCAGTGTGACCCTCTGTATAGCACTTTTAGGATGGTGACAACCGAAGCGTGTCATTTGAACTATTACAAGTCTCTCCAATTCCTCTAGGTCAGTTGTGGACCATTTAAGAATACCCATCGAGAAGGTGATACTGGCATAATGGATACAGCGTACGAGTTAACGGCAGCCGTAGGGTTTCAGGAGTTGAGGGAAGTTTTCAACACTGACTTGAGTCCGTTGGTAAGCTCTGTTGTAAGTATCCCCTTCAGTTGATGATGTGCAATCATATTTCCTTGCTGAATCCCAAGGTATTTGTAGAGCTCATCAGCCTCCAGAGCAGTGATTGTTTCTCCAACAAGTCTCGTATGTGCGCTCACTAGTGAGTTTACCCTTCTGTATTTGTTGTATTTTGCATTTATCAATGCCTAGTTGCATATTTATGTCCCTGGAGAAGTCTTCAGTAGCTTTCATCTGAATGTTTAAGCCACGCATCGTATCAGAGTAGAGTTTGTCGTCCATATACGCTAGCTAAAGAGTCCATTCGACGGAAATTCACACAGATCCAGAGAAGGATGGCTCTAAGGATAATCTCAGGATATCGCACGGTATCCGACAGTGCAGCCTTAGTACTGACCAGTGTCCCCAGTGGACCTTTTAGCCCAGGAAAGGAGGACAATGTACCCGAGGACGACAGCAGACAATCAACAAACCCTCTCACAAAGGCAATTAGACAATATCAAAGCGGAATTGAAAACCACCATCTCCTGCACCAGTGACAAAACCGATGGGACCTGGAGTACAAAGGTAGATGGTCACACGGCCTCATCCCTAACATCAAGGATTGGACCAGCAGGAACCATTGCACAATGGACTTCTACTTAATGCAAGCCTTCTCAGGGCATGGGCACTTTCAAGCATATCTATACAGATTTAAAATCGATGAAATGCGCACTATGTCATGAAAAAGATGACGACGCTATGCACACCATATATAGTTGCACAGCTTGGGAGGAAGAAAGAAGAAAATGCTACAGCAAATTGCGACGGAAGTTAACGGCTGCAAACACAGCCCAGACTATGCTGCAAACCAGAGGCAACTGGAACAGTGCGGGACTTCGTGACTCACGTACTAAAAGCAGGGAGAGCTAAAATACTATAGCGACCATCTGAAGAGGAAAGCTCATGCTCTCAGCCAATCTTCTGCGTGAAGTAATGTCTCAACGGCGGTTCCGCGCAGAAGATACCACGGCCCGTGTGAATCGAGGATATTAGGTTTTAGTCGGTATCCCACGCTGGAGAGTCCGACATAACCGGACTTACCGGTATGCGTAACGCATTTCCCCCTCTTCGGCAAAAAAGTAGTAGTTATAATAATAACCCACCTGGGGAGTATATGAACTTGACATTGGTGGTGGAGCTTGAGTATCCCAATGACCCTGAGAGCTATGCCGGCGGTAGCGTAGCTTCTGGTGGGGTTTTCCCTAGTCGGACAGTTCGAGGGGGAGGGGTCAGACGAAGAAGTACTCCAGAAGAGGACCTCAACACCAAAAGAGGACCTACAGAAGAGGCAGAGTGCTGAAGACATGAAGATGGCCTCGAAAGAACCCATCTCTCCAGGGATTGATAAAGAGAGCCCGTGCCCGGGATAACATGGGCGAAGTCTCTAACGGCCCAAACTGGGCGGAAAGAGCAACCCTTGCTGTGGGATTAATACACAAGATGGCAGGTGGAAAGGCCATGAGATAGGTGCCCTATCAGACCACACACATTTTGGAATGGAGAGATCATTGGAAATTTGCCTCGAACCAGAGCCACTGCCTGGGGAGCGCCAGGGTACAGATGGAGCTAGCGCCGTCTGTGACAGCATGCGAACCGCTAGTGGTGTGTTGTTGAACAGGCGGACACACACCAGGATACCCGAAATTACTACATCCGAAGAAAGCAACACTCAAGATCTTTCAGCTGCACCTGAGCACAGTGTTTCCCAGACATCACTTAAGACCACTGTGGCAGGCCTGCCACGACGTAGAGTTCAGTGGACGAACGAAATGAATGAAGACATCATCAGGTTATATTATCGCATTAGCCGTTGCGATTCAATTCGTACAGGATATCGGCAGGAATTGCATAAATGTTTTCCCCAATAGTACCCACTTTTATATCACCTTACTGAGCAAAATATCGCGGACCGAAGAGCATTAATCCATAAATCTGATAAATATATTTCATGTACAAGAAAAAATTAGATTAAAGCTGAAGTGCAAGTTAGAGCAACAAGGGACCACAGAAGCCTCAGTAATACCCGTCGCACAAATTCAAACCCCAGCATCAGGCATCACTCTGCACGAAGCGCCTTCAGACGAATATCCTACTTTCAGAGATCAACTATATAAATCTCGAATTACAATATCGGCTGGGAAATATTCAATATGGAGGAATGAATCCTAATGTTAAACCAAGAGTCCCGAAACAGCACAACTCAAAGAAACTGGCAATGCTAGTTAAGATAGCAAACGAACAAATTTTGGTAAATGAGTCCTCTCACGTTACGACCTATGATTCTGCAATGTATTGTATGGCAGTGGCAATAGTGAGAGAAAATGGTGGTAAAATTATCGAAATTCACCCACAACAACTCCCAGCTACATCAGAACGACCCTCCATGGAAAATCAGACTACAGAAGTGAATAGAACACATCCGATCAGACATCGCTACACTCCAAGCCTTCCAAAGAGGAGACAGAAGTAAATATCTGAAAAACAGAGTAAAAGTCATTAAGAAGAAACATCGCAAATACACACACCATAATTCTGATAAGTCATCTGCTTGAATTTATAGATACTCTAAAACAGAAACTAAGCGTTTATAGCCAACGCATGAGACGTTACACCAAAAGCCTAAAGCGGAAAGTAGAGAACAGATTTTCTCAAGAGCCAAAAGGATGAATGAAAGAACGAAGAACACACATCTTCTACAGAAAGATGAATGAAAAGAACACAGAAGTGTATAGCTTACCAGAGAAATCTACTTTTGAAGAGACCTGGAGTAAAAACATGGTCGACGGAAAGTCACTTTAACGCCAACGCACCTTGGCTAGAACAGGTCAGGAATGCAGCATTTTGAGTGCACTACGGCGGAAATTAATCCCCTTTGTTTTACTGGGACCTCCTGAGTTCAGCATTAGTCTGGAGAGATTTGATCCAGTCTTTGCGGCTTTTCCTGATGATTTTATATCATGGGGTCCGAAGCTCAGTCGTGAATCAATATCCACCCCCAGGTATATAATACGCCGTTTCCATTCAATACGTTCCTCCCCCAGTCGGATTACCGGGGGGCGGAATGCTGTGCGGTTTGTAATCAACACGGCCTCCCCCTTGTCAACTGGAGCCATCTGGAGGTTTCTTTGGTCCAACCATCTTTTAACCCTGCGTAGTGTTTCGTTGGTCTTCATTTCCAGTAGTTCCGTGTTGTCACTATGGCATATGATCAGTGTGTCATCGGCGTAGCCTATGAGTCTGGAGTTCAATATTCAGAAGGTAGTCATATAGGTATTCCACAGGAAGGGGCCCAATCTTGATCCCTGTGGAACACTGCAGGTCATGTCTACCGCAGTCCTATATCCGTTAGTGTAGATTATTTTCCTCTCACTGAGGTAGTCCTCCAGGATCCTCACAAGGTATTCAGGGATCTTTCTAGCTACTAGAGCTTGTATGATGTCTTTCCAGCTGGCAGAATTAAAGGATTTTTGATGTCAATCGCAACTAAGGCACAAAAACTCTTATTCCTTTTTGCCGATTCTGCATGGTGGACTGCGTCTGAGATCGCGGCTATTGTCGAGAGTCCCTTTCTAAATCCAAACTGTCTCGTTGAAAATTGGACATGTCTCTTTAGTCTTAGAAGGAGCAAATCATCCAGTAATTTGCTCATCGTATCCAGCAGGCACTAAGGTCTGAACGATGACGTCCGGCGATTGACCTTTCCGCATGAGAATTGGCTTCTGATTCATCCAACCCTCATAGAATTTCCCTTGTTCAAGACACTGGTTAAAGGCTTTCAATGGCATTCTGGGTATTCTTTTACAACTATCCTCAGGATCGCGTTCGGAATTCCGTCAAGCCCCGGTTCAGTTCCAGTCTTGGTCTTCTTCATCGTCTGGATTAGTTCGTCCTTCGTGAAGCGGTTGGCTTCGTCGAAGAGGTAGTCAGAAGGTCTTCTTTCCCAGCATTCTCTACTAGGGAAAAGGTCTGGGATAATTGCCTTCACCCATTCGGGGTCTTCTAGCCCCGCGGTTGTTGGAGGTTTAAATTTACCCATAACAATCTTGTAGGCTTTTCCCCAGGGGTCGTTGTTCACTTCGTTTAATAGGGCCTTCCAGCATATTGTTTTGCTTCTTTTAATCTCCAATTTTAGTCTTTTGTGGGCCGT